CTCCTCCTCATCCTCTCCTACCACACCTCACATCATGTGTTTATTTATTTATTTTTAAATAATATAGCATTCATTAAATTTAAAAAAAAAAAAAAAAATAAAACAAAACATTAGGAAATCAATTGACCGAAATCACCTGAAGATACTGAAAGGTTGAAACCAAGGTAGCGGAATTGACGGATTTCCTATTTTTTTATTCTTAAAAGTTCTAAATGTTTAATTTTTATGTAATTTTTAGATGTATTGAACACTTTTTAATACTACTGTTTCCTAGCCTAATTCAACTTTGATGATTAACTTTTTTTATTATATATGTATAGGCACAGTGGAGTAATGGATAGTGGCTCAAATTGAGGAATCGGAGAGCTGAGTTTGAATTCCAGTTGAATCCATTACACTCACTTAAGTGTTAATAACCTTGGGAAATGTATGAATCCTCTTCTTTTCCTCCCCCAGCTATGGGTAAGTAGCAGGACAGGCTGGGTTCTATAGCCTTGGATGGCAACTGGTCTAGCAGAAGGACAACTCTGAATTCAAAACCTGCAGATGGTCGTTTGGGGACCTTTTGGCACATGGTGTACCAGGTTTCTGTAGTCGGCTCTTCAAAAAGTGTGTTTGGTTCTGCACAAAACTTTCACTACTGTAATCAAGTAATATGTGGGGATGTCTGGCTGTCAGTTCATAGGAACCAAGTTGCTTGACATTCATACATTGAAAACAATGGAAGACTCCATTCATTATAGATAGCTTAACTTCAAGAACAATGATTTTGTAATGCTTTCCATGACTGTTGCAGGCCCTTGTGCATTATTTACAGAAAACATAGACTAGCTCTCAGGCTTGTACCTGTAAAATTTTCTGTGAAACATTCCATGCACTTAACCAACCATACTCTTTAAACCAAGAGTTCATGAGCCATGGCCTAGAAAAGTGCAAAAACTAGAGCAACTTGCTGATGTTGTAGGTTTTCTGTTGGAATATTCCTCTGCTAAAGAGTTAGCTAAGATAAATCTAGAAGTTGTAGTGAGTGTGAAATAATAACTCTCTTCACCCACTCTCTTCAGATATGGAGGAGTGAAGATGAAAAAGGAAAGAAATTCATGAGCCTATGTGAAATTTTCTTTGGGCCAATGAAAACCATGTCTTCACAGAAATTGACTAGTGAGCTGAGAAGAAGGAAAACAATTTGCAAGCCTATGTGAAATTGTTTTTAGACCAATGAAAATCATGCTTTCACAGAAATTAGCCAGTTAGTCAAGAAGAAAAAGAAAAGAAAGTAAGTGAGCCTACACAAAATTCTTTTTTATATAAAATGAGAAGAAAAATTAATCTGAGAAGAATGTTTGAAGTCATGTGAAAGGTTTCATTTCAGTTCCTTGCAACCAGCATTGAAGTACTTGGCAGTGTAAAATGAATCACCAATTATAAGACTAACTAGCACAGATGACTTTAAAGAACTTTCTCTCAACAATCCAAGAAAGTTAAGTATTCCAAACTATCACTCTTTGTCCATTTTTTGAACAAATACAAACCATGTATACTTTTGGTGAGCAACAAACTCTCTTCTCTTTATTTGAAACATTTTTGAATATTATTTTGTGTCAGATGATTTAATCTATTGTATGAACATTTCTTCTTCATGACAATATGTTAAAACTACAGACTTTAAAATTTTCTGATTTATTTTTCTGAAATGTGCTACTGACAGAACTTCAAGTGTGGATAAGTTCCTTATCTTGTTTTGTTAAAATTACCCGTGTTTTTCTTCATCATTATCATTCTTCATTAATTTTCTTGATGTGGTTAAATAAACTGTTCATTTTAACCCCTAAGTCCTATACCACTATAAAGTCTACCAATCCTATAAAGAAATACAAGGAAAATATCACTAACCTGGAATTATTTATGCACTGGTTCTAGAGTTATGTAAAAAATTTGCAGGTTTACAGTTTATTTTTGCTTTATTTTATTTCAATTATTTTTATTTTATCTAACTTGGTATAATTTGCAATGCCTCCTTTATATAATTGTTCTGTTAGGAAAATTAATGATAAAGTGGAAAAAATCTTTTTAGGATTTCATTGAAATAAAACTACACATGTGCATTAAAATTAAATTTTTTCTTTTAGATGCATTCAGTTATACAGTCTAGCAAGTTTAATTTATTTTTATTCGTTTGTTATTAAGTATCCCACATTGTGATTAGAGAAGATCTGTCAAGAAAGATGAAATGATGTATAAACCTTGACACTAATATATTGTTGATAATCTAACAATTAAAGCACTTTCTATACAGTTTCATTTTAGTAAATTGCTTTCTCTTTTAATTAAAGTAGTATTTGTTTTAAATCAAAATTATGGTCAGATACATTACAGTGAGCAACTAATGCATTTAATGTGTTGTTTTGTAAAAGATCCCTTTTGTGTTCATATAATCTTTTATTTGAAATGCTACTTTAATTAAGAAAAATAAAGCAATTTACTAAGACAAAATAAATTTGTGTCAAGGTTTTCACAAAAAAAATATTGAATTTAAAAGTTTATAATTTCTGTGTGCCCCCCCGCCCTCATATGCATGTGTACTTACATCACCAGAAACATCACTAGTCCAGGGGTCAATAATCCCTGGCCCCACATCTGGCCCACAAAGAATTTTTGTCTGGCCTGCCAGCTTAATACCAGGAAATAATTATCTAGTTAATTTGTGGAGCAAGTGGCAAAAAATATCACTTGTAGTTAATTGACAATATGACAAATTTTTTAAATTAAAATTTCATTCTGAATCCACTGCTGACAAGAAATGTTTCGACAAGTGGAAAATAAAAAGCCTATTGAATAATGTGAAAATGATGGTATCATTATTTGGAAGTACATATGCTTGGGAACAACTTTTTTTCAGAAATGAAATATACTAAAAGTTGTTTAAAAACAAGGTTAGGTGATGTGCTACTGTCATCAATAAATATTTCACCTGATATGGAGAAGTTATTGAACAATAAACAAAAACAAGTGCCTCATTAAATAATTTGCCATTTTTAACTGTATTTCATTTGTAGCATGGAATTTGCGTTTTGTGTTGATTATGTTAGTTGTTATCCTGTTATTTCTTCAGTAAAATAAGGAACCTTGTTTAAATAATATAGCATTAATTTTGTTGTTTTTTTTTTAAACTTCCAGACTAACGGAACCTTCTGGATAGAGCAGTCTGAGGTTGAATTTACTAAAGTACATTTGATATCATGCCAATTCTTTCAAGTCCTAAAGAATGAAACACATCACACAAAAATATTTTCCACTTTACATATTCATCATACTAGAATATAAATATCTTTAGCAACTTTATTGAGAAAATAAACAATTTGTGGATTAGTCAATAATAATAATTTAATAAATTTAAATAATTATGAATAGCAATAATATATATTAAATATATAAGTACATACTAATAATTATTGATGCCACTTATTGGTCTTTTCCACTTTTCCTGGGAATTGTTAGTTTGATTAAAATATTAATATGGTTTAATGAGTAATAGATAATTTATTTATTTTCTGCATTAAATATTGAGTCATATATTTACCATCTGATTCCATTGTCTTTTTCCATCTTTTGGCCAACATCATAATTCCATTCTCTCAGAATGTTTAAACTTCATTAGTAAATAAATCTATAATTATCATAAAGACTTGGGATATGCAACCATGATATTCAGAGAAGGAGAATCAGAACATTGTCAGAAAGAAATGCAGATCCATCATAGGAAAATTGATGTCTGTATTAACAATGGTGTAAATCCTAGAAAAAAAAGTCAGTTTCCAAAAATCAGTATAAAAATAAATATAGTACACAGGATTTCTTTGTTGGTGTGAGCTACCTTTTGAAAAAAAAACAAACTACTTGTCATTTCAGATTGAATATCTAACATTGTCTCACCTTTCCAATTGAATATCCCATTAACACCTCAGTTCCTTGACATTGTCATCTGATCATTTAATTCCATTTTCATATCATTTTTGTTGGAGGATATGATGATTGGCCTCATAAATATAGACTTGAAAGTTCTGAATAAGATGAAATATATGATAAGGTTTCGTTTTCACCTGGCATTCCCACACTGTACTTCTTGGGCATTCTGTAATCAGCAGCAGAACCATGGCTGTCCCTTTGTCATCATCTGATAAAGTCTTTGTTAGGTGCACAGCTATTGTTTTCGCAGTAGCATGTTTATGAAATTATATAAACTATACAGATTGACAAGAAGGTAGTAATTTAAATGTAATACTGAACAGAATAAAAGTATATTTTATCATACAAGGGGGGTACTGAAAAGTTCTCACCCCTGACTAAGTTGAGAAAAACATGTATTCTGATATTTTATCATTTGGCCTGATTTTCTTAGACAAAATAAATGTAAATAAAGATCTTGATTTCCCATTCAATCAGAAAACTTATATATTCTGAAACAAAAAAAAATACTTGATCACAATCACAACATATTTTTCCGCATTCACTTTACCTTACCTAAATGACAATCCAACAAGCACTCACACTCATATAGTCTTACAAATGCACATCATAAAGTTCTAGACAGTTACAGAAAGTCCTAGAAGGCTCCAGAAAGTCATAGTATTACTATACTTATATTTGATTTTAGAAATTTTGTGTTGGCAGTGACATTTTTTTAAAAATATACTAAATTAAATCTTTCATTATTTTTTTAACAAAAGTTCATCAAATTATGATACAGGAAATCAATTATTTTACAAAAAAAATCATAGCCCTAAGAAGAATTTTACATTTTACATATTATATTTAAAAAATTTGAGTAAGAGATAATCAAAAAGAAGAAGACATAATATGGAATTTTTATTCAACAAAGTTAATAGGAAACAGACATAAATAAGCCTATCATATTTTACAAGTACTATGAGAGTTCTTATATAAAAAAAAGCAAGATTTTATCTTTTTTTATTATAATATAAAAATTAGAGAATACTTACAACAGGCTGTGAGAGATGCTGTCCGATAGAAAAGAGGTTTTTATATCGCTCAAAAGTGAAGAATTTTGTGGCACGTTTTGGTGTTTCAGCTAAAATTGGAGGGAGAATTCCTTTGTAAAACCCCAAAAGTCTGGAAAACAAAAAGCATTTGCCATGTCAAATAGAATGATTTTGTAACTAACAATAATGTTAACAAACAAACCAATCTTTATTCTATTTTTAAAAAAAAAAAAAGAAAAGGCTAACAAAAGAGTCTGGCCAGACAGCTAGACATATCAAGTTTGTATCCCATGTATTATAAAGAACTCTTAATAGTAAAAAAAGCAAGTATATTAGCTTAAAATATTTTTGTTTCAGTAAAATTACCAACTTAAATACATACAGGAAATATATTTCTGATCTTAACCAGCAATTTTTTACAATACTTTTTACCCTGTACAAGGCCCAAGAGGCACTCAAGTTAAAGGGCTACAGAGTAAGAGGCACAGTTTATGGGGATATGTGGGGAAGATAATGGTTGATCTTAGGCTTGAAAAGGTTAAAATATGACAAAAATTTATTGTTAGTCCTGTTTTTACTGAATCTAAGTCTGTACTACCTGTCCTAGGATTTATACTTGAAATAAGTATACTTTGATTTATTTGAGTTATTGTTCTAATATTTCCTTGTTATAGATGTTATTATAGAAACATTTCATACATGTTCTCTGGCCATCTTCAGAGATTCATCAACTGATTATTGCTACTTTTGATTTTATAATGTCATTTCTTGTTCATTCAAAGTTTATGGAATTTACTTTGTGATCTACAGTGATAAAAAACAATAAAATACTCTGCTCATACCAGATATTTTATATCAGCCAAAAATAAAGCACATGAATATGGTGACGTTCAGCAATATCACTTTTTGATCCTTTGACATCAGATCTTCCTAACATTGTGAAGCAGAATTCACCAAGCACTGAATAGTTCACCCACTGACAGGGAATGTAAGCTGGGTTTGTATTGTAAGATAGGTTGGTTTTATCTTATCAACTGGCATGTGTTACATTGGCTGAGGCCACAGCTATCCTGTTCAGTACAAGCTATAGGATTGGAGCAATGATTTGTGTACTCACTTGAACACCTTGAATGTGTTTGCACAATAACAGCTGAATGCCTCTAAGCCAGAACTGTGACCAATGCTATCACTGTATTAAGAAAGGCATCTTTTTCCATTCTGTTGGAGCCTGCCATAGTGTCCATCTTCATTAGAAGCAACAGCAGTTGTGAGAGTTGGTGGCAATCATTGTCACTACTGCTTTGTAGACAGCAGCATCCTTGAACTGGCCATCAAATTTAACTCCCTCAACAGGTGGAATTTTATTCTTGCTATCTTATTTCGAACCCCCCAGTGGAGCATGAGATGAGGGATCACTCATAGACTACTTGACTTGTTAGCTGAAATGTTCTGTCTATAATAACATCTATAAGAACCAAAGGTAAGTTTAAATATATTGACAATTACTAATCAAAGATTACACAAAATATACAGGAGTGTAAATGTACTTAGTCAGGTACAATATGATAAAAAAGAACAATTTATAAGAATCTAAAGAAAATATTAATTCCATTTGTTCATGATTTATATATATATATATATATATATATATATATATATATATATATTTGAACTACTGTTCTCATCTTTGTTATTATCACAACAGATATCACCCATGATGATAACAGGTGTGCTACCATCATGGGTCAGAGTGGAACAACAGCAATTTAGGTGTGGTACCATGCTCCTTAAAACCTTCAATCTCCCAATTAGAGGTCTTGCTGCCAGATGTAGTTTATTGTTATACCCAGGACAAGTAGTTTTGAGGCAAACTATACATTATCATAAAGTAGAATCTCACCATCTGTGAATTTATCTACCACAATAATCTTAGATCGTTTTCATTTATCTAGAGGTAACTCAATCAAAACATTTTCTTCAAAATTTTTATGCAACAAAAAACAACTACTTTGCAAAATATATTTCAAGGTAATAAGATATAAAAACGTATGTAAAGACATTAGTATTTAATAATAATATTAAAAAATACTTAAAAATAATCAGTTAAAATGTCCATAATGTCATCAAAGTTCAAGTCATAGGATTCAAGATTGGAAATTGTCAAATTAATAAAAATTTATTGATTACTGAAATGCTTTTTACCTAATTAATTTTATCTTTAGTCAAATATATTTCTTACTTGGGAGAATTTTATCCTCTTAGTCATCAAATAGGTTTAAAGTGTACAATTATTTTTGAATAGAACTGGTATATATCATTCACTATGATACGTACGTTTCACCAAGCATAGGAAACCTAGTGAATTCTTACTGTATTCCCAAATAATAATAATACACATCCACTTTCTTTTTATACTAATTGTTGTGGCATGCATATGACAAGACATTTTCTCAAAATAGTTGGTGATGAAACAAACAGCATGGAGAAGTGGGTACACGCCTTTCCATAGTGCACAGTAAACATAAGTAACTTCAACTGATAATTAAATCTGGTTCCAATCCCAAATTTGTTACTATAGCTAGTGTTCCATACATCACTTTCTTACAGGAAATATATTTAAATTATACAATTATATTGTAGATGAAAGTAAAAAAAATGTTGATACCAATATGAAACTATTCAATTCACTAACATGTTTAATACATAAAATTATACCTTCCTTCCAAGGAATTGTTTGATACCAAAAAGATGTGCTAATAACAGTGGTTATAGCATAGTGAGATTGGTATGCAGAGTTCAAAGTCCTGACTGAAGCTGTTGCATTCACTTTTACACAAATACCATTGGAAAGGTATTAGTTCAACTCTTCTTTTTGCAAGGCTAAGGCTTAAATAACTCGGCAGACTGGGTTCCCTGTCCTTAATTGGCAACCAATTTAGGAGAAAGACAACACTGAATTGCAAACCAGTTTGGAGGTGCTAGCAACTCCATACCATGAAAATCTACTTAGTACAGAAACTACGACAGCAACAGTTGGTGTGGTGAGGCTGTGGCACTGTACATTACAGGGGAATTTACAAAACCAAAAACAAAAGTAATTTACAAAACCTAAAGATGTTGGTTTCAAATTACAAAATATTAAATGCTAATGAAACTTATCTTTAAGAAAATAGCGATACTTAATGAGTACTTTAAATTGCAGATTTATCAAAAAATTAATGTTTTTCAGAGAAGCTTCCATTCTTTCTATGTGTAGATAATGGTATGAGCATGATAGCAATAAACATGGAAATATTAGGTTGGCCAGAAAGTCCCGAGTCACTTAGGAAGCATAAAAAAAAAAAATCTTATGGAGCAACACCAACATTTATTCTTTGAAATAAATTCTATCATTCTTGATGATCTTCTGCCAGCAATTAGCCAGCATCCAAATCACTTCCAGATACCAGTCCGCTGGCTTTGAATAAAAAAACCCAAAAAAAAACTGTAAAACAAGCTTCCTTCACTTCATCAAAAGTGTTGAATCGTTGGTAGCAGAATAAGTGTGTCATTGAGTGGAATAGGCCATAGTCACTTGGAGCAGCATTAGAACTAAATGGTGGATGTGGAAGAGTCTCAACACTGTCTGTTTGAACATCTCCTTAGTCAACCTCGCAGTATATGGCTTCATATTGTCTTGCTGAAACAAAGCTAGACCTTGACTGACCAAAGCAGAATACTTCTTTAGTTAGTCATACATACAGTCTAGCTACTAGCAATACAGTTTATTATTGATGGCTTTACCATGTGGAACAAGCTCAAATGCAGTACTCCTTGAAATTCCAGACACAGATAAAGATTTGTTGTTTTCTTTCCACTTCCTAAGTGATTCAGGACTTTCTGGCCAACCTAGTATTAACATCAAGCAGACTTGATTGTTACTTAAACATTTAACTGCGAGGATGTTTTTTACAGTTGCTTTCATCTTTTGTATAAACAAATAAGGTTATAGGATTGTTGTTTTTATCCTTTGTATCAAATGGACAAGTTTTCCAGTGATAAAGAATCATTATTTAGAATAAAAATATAACCAGTTCACAAGTCTATTCAGCATTATTTGAATGATTTTCTTTGTATTTTTGCTGATTCATTCTCCAAACCTCTTTTAGCATATTTCGTGATAAAAATTCAAAGAACAAAAGGTGAAGAAATTGTTTACAGCAAAATTATCAACAAGTATCCACATAACTCCAAACTGCAGCAGAGTTAGTAGCTTCCCAATGTCTACTTTATGAACCAAAGAAAACAGATTGGGAATCCTTCAAGGTTTTATGCTTGGACCTATGTTGTTTCTTATTTTCATCAATGACCTTCCTGATGTCATCAGTTCCCAACTAGATATTTATGCTGATGACACAACTACTTACTTCTGTCTTAGTGACAGGTTTGGCAAAGTAAAACTGGCAGTTACTTTTAAAAATGATCTTTAATCAATGGTCAACTGGAGCAAGAAATGGCTTGTAAATTCAAATACCTCTAAAACAAAACTGCTATTTTTTAATCACCACAGAGAACCTTTTTTGCCTTCCATCAGCATGGCTACTGCTAACCTCCAGGAGAGTGACTCAATGCATTTTTATCATGTCATGTTTTCTACTGACATAAAGTAGAGTGATTATATTGAATCAATTGCTAGGTCTACTTCTAGAAAAGTTGGTTCACTGTGTTGTTCCAAACAATTTTTCTTTTCAGAATTCATCTTACACATTTATAAATCTACCATTCATCTGTGCATTGAATATTGCTGCTATATCTTGTCTGATGCTCCTGTTATATATCTTGAGATTCTTGAGAAAATTTCAAGAAGAGTTTGTAATATAATCAATCCTGACCTGGTTGTGGCATTACTTTTGTGATTTCTGCAAATAATTTCATGGCAATTGTTCTAATGAGCTTTCCTCCTTGGTACCTTGATAAGAGACCCAGTGTTGCATGGATTTAAGTGTACTACTAATTTGACAACTAAGTCTCATCACTTTGCTGTTGAAATAGCCATAATATAACCATAAGCTCTATTCTTAATAGTTTCTTGTCTTGTACTTCTCACCTGTGGAGCTCTCTTGTGGTTTTCTTAAAAAATCTAAATGCAACACCAAATTGCAATGTTCTGTCTTCCTGAATCCTATTCTTTTATTGGACTTTCTCTTCACTAAATTCTTCTTATTCTCTTTCCTTCCTAGTAACCTCTTTCATTTTAGTGGCAGCATAAGTTTCATCTTCAGATGAATCACCACTGGACGAGTCATTGGGTTCTCCTGTGCCAGACTCCACACTGCTGGTACCAGGAGAATCACCTGGAGAAGTTGATCTCAAGTCGACTAAAAGCTTACTTTCAGTTGAATCATTTCCATGTTCAGGTAGAAAATATGACCCCTGAAATGGACATAAGTCCTTCATAAAATGGGGAATTCCATCAACCTGAATATACTGCAAACTGTTAAAGTTGGTTATGTGGCCCTTCTTAAACTTGGTTGACCCCTCTCTTCCAGAGTCTTAACCCATACAATGTCTCCTATCTCATATGCTCCTTAAGTATTCTATAGTTCAGGTGGCGGTGTCACTTCAATGCCCCATATGATTTTAATAATGATTTTAATGCTTCTGTTACTTCCTTTGACTATACCATTCTCAGTCAGTGCATAAGCACATCAGAATTGAAGTTGCATGTCCCAGTCACTGAAGAATTTTCTGAAGTGCCCACACATGAAAGCTGCATCATTGTCAGTTATGATTTCAGTCGGTGGACCCCACTCATAAAAGATTTATGCTGATTGGTTAGTGATATTGGTAGAGTCTTGTCGATGAAGTGGTCACTATATTGAAAATAGAGATGATCCACAATCAATGTGTTAGGAAGTGTTCACTGCCATATGTGTGATATCCATCACTAACTTGCTCCAGTTATTTTTCACTTCAAGCTTTCCTTTATGCCAGTATACTGGCGCCGGTTCAATAGAATTGGCAAGCTTCACAATTCTTGACAACTGACTTTGCAACTGTTGTTGATACTGAAGGGTCAACAGACCTGGTAAAATACATTGTCCTCTTTGTTGATCAGCTTTACGTCCATTGTTGATGCATACCTCATCAACCAGTATGCAAAGTGTTTCTAACCACCATCTTATCAACAACTCACTGGCTGTCCTCATTTTTACACATTGCCTTCCCAGTCAGGGTGTCTGATATCTAGTGATGAATGCACACTGTACCGTAAGCAGGTGCAAGAATGTCATCTGCCATTGGAGAGTCAGATTAATGCATTTTATCATTGCAGGCTTCTGTTCAATTCCAATGACACTCCCATGGCCAAAGAACTCGCGTCCACCTATACCTTCATTTCATGACTACTTACACACCAGTCCCCACCAACAAGATTCATTTTGTGTACCCTGGTTACTGTCTCAGTTAGCATGTGGCAGATGAAGGCATTTTTGATTATTTTGTCCCATCCCTTGGACACTGTACTTGCTTATAGGCAGTTAATATTCTTAGTCAGCCATTTACAAGAAAGTGTCCCACAAGTCACCCACACAGAGAAAATATGCTTTGGCAAGTCAATGACTTTAGGAAGGTCTGAGACTTTACTTCCTCACTTCCCTTGGAAAGTACCATTCTCCACCCAGATGTGCAGGCACAAGATTTTGGTCCAGTCTTTCAATCTATCTATGTCTTTCCAGCTAAGTCCATAATTGGATAGATGGCCCCTCACCCATGCAGTAGAAACCAAAGCTTCATTGACAAATATGTCATCTATACAAGCTGATGTGGCATCTTTGATTGACGTGTTCTGGAATATGACCAAATCAATGATAGCCTTCATAATGAGAGATGTAACATTTAAGTCAAATCCTAATCATGTAAGGCAATACCTCTTGCCCTTGATCAGCAAGGTTTGAAAGGACTACAATGTCCTGTCAACATGTATCTGTAGGTAAGCTTTTCTCAAATATAACAGGGACACATATACTCCCTGCCACTGCTATTCTCTCAACTTCTGGACACACACATCTGAGTCGGCAGTGAATGCTTCCACAAAATAGTTCAATTCCCTGTAATCAAGTACTGGTTGAACCTTCTGTTTGTTCTCCTAAACCACCACCCTCAATGGAATTGGGATCTTGGGTGGACTGAGCACACTTTCAGGATATGGCAGCAGCCATTTATTGTCTAGCCAAAACTGCATTTTTTTTCATATTTGTTCTGGACAGTGTCAGGCACAGTGTACTCTGGCACACTGTTTTTCAGGTGTTGGACCATGAGGAAGTCCAAACCTTCTTCTGGTGGTCGAATTGCACACTAAAATCAGGTTTGTAGATGGAAGTGACAGCACACTGGGGTATATCTTCCTTGGGGCAGTAGACTTCTCCCAATTTAATGATGCCCATTTCTGCAAGTTCGTGGATCACATCGATACCCAAAAAAACAGATCAAAGCCTATCAATGTTCCATCCACAACCAGGACTCCAATGTTCACAGATGAGCCTGATCAACATTCAATTTGACTGTGCCATACCTATGACACTTTAGTGATTTCCCATCAACTGTCAACACTTTCACCTTCCAGTATCACCAAAGGCAGCATACAGATCTGGTCACTAGTATCTGTAAGCAGCAAGCGTCTACAAGGGCTATGCACTTCTGTTCATCTACAAGCACTTCAATGATTGGTAGTGCATTGTTCTTTACTTGTTCGGGGAGGGGAGATTGGCATTGACACCCCCTCCCCTGAACCATTTCCCCCCGGCACTTACATGAGATTTATCCAACTTTGTTGCAGTGAAAGTAATGCACTACATGGCAAGATCTGCACACATGGCTATCAGTCCCCTACAGATGTCCTGCTCCTTAGTTGCTGGTATATGACGAGAGCCCCACCTCTCAATTGTGACAGCTGGGCGTGCTCAATCCTCTTCATGTCACACAGCTCACATACCAACTCTACATTCTCAATCCACTCCATGATTGATAAATTGGTGTCAAAACTACTAAATTCAGGGATCAAGCTGTTGTCAAATGCCTTCTCTGCTGAAATAGCTTGTAGCAAAAAAAGCTTTAAACTTGTTTTGTTTCTTTCCTTACAAATAATGCCCACAGTTTTCAAACACTCTACTGTCTGTGAAATGTGTAGCCTGTTTGACACAGCAGTAAACCGTTCTGCTTGTCACCTCATTCTCTCTATTTTTATATATTATTTACAGCCCAAATTTACATATGTGCAAAGATAATCTTGTGAAAGAGTATGTGACTCTGGGACCAATCTGTTTTAAATATGTAACCTGCAAAGCTGCCATTTCTTTCTTCTTTGGGTAGTTTACATGTGAGGCACTTTGAATCTTTGTTCACACTGGTGGTAAGTTATTTTATTCTAGTATTGCAAAAAAATACAACACTGGGTCTCTTATCATTCTGCAGTAATTCAAGATAGTTCACTCTGCATTTTTTAAGATTTTATATAGAAATGAATTGAAAATCAAGAAGAAAGGGATTGTCAATAGTTAGGAAATAATAGCATAATGTAAATGTACTGCTAATTATTTTAGTATAGGAGTGCATAGAAAATGTTTTTTTTCGGAATTAATTCTGTCTTACAGTTACAGTATAAATTGTTTCAAACAAACCATAAAAAATATCTTGACAAAAACAACACAGCTGAAAGTAATCCAAATAAACTAATATACAGTAAGTATATTTTACTAATAAAAAAAATCACATTTCAAGAATCATCTCCAGATGTATCAAGTAAAATTATAGGAGTCATAATAATTTTAGATTGGGCATATTTTAAGCACATGAATACCCGATATTAACTGACTAGCTTTCCACCTGGCTCAAAGTAACATTTTTTTTAAACGTTTAGTATCTGATACTAACAGGGGTCACATACTCCTCCCATAGTAGAGGTTTACTACTTTAGATGATGGGTTTCCATTCCAGGTTAAATAGTTCTGACTCTGATTTTCTTCTTGTAGGTTGATTGTTGGTGTTTCAACATCTCAGATTGTCTACCTAAGGCAAGAGAATTCAGTCTACCCTGTTATTTAACACATCACTGCAGGAAGAGAGACTCATGCTTTTTCCAATGGCATAAGTGTAAAGTGAACAAAACAGACTTAGTAAAAATTTAAACACTTCATGTAAATTCTACTTTCCATGCTAAAAACCATTAGATTACCTGCACATCAAGGTACAATGGATTATATTTGATTTTAAACTCAGATCAACATATTAAAGTAATAGCAGGAAAGTTAACAAATATAAATGTTATAAAACAGATTCTATTTTGTTAGTTGTATTAAATAGCAAGAGATGGAAAATGTATAAAAAAATGTAGTTATAGATGTAATAAAAACTATTAACAAATATAGACATTAAGACAAAGAAAATTCTCTTACCCTTCAGATTTGGAAATCTTCTTGAAACAATCATACAATGACGTGTAACGAGTAGGATCTTCAGCACCTCTTTGAATTTGAAATCTGGTCTTAATGAGATCCAAAGGGTGCATCAGGGAAACTTCAACAAGTCCTGAAAATTGATAAACAGGATTCTAGTATAAAAACTGGTTGGCTGAAACCATGATCTAGGTAAGAGATATCAAAACTTTATAGTTGCCAGGTCATAAATTGTTATAAATAGTATATATTTGGTTAAAAAAGATTGACTTCCCAGGCAGCATCTTCACATTATATTCAAAACCAAGATCAGAATTACTGCCTAATATTTGTTACAATGTGCTAATAAAAAACTAGACAGTTTTTTGAATCCACCAATATGCAACTGTATGTAAGGATATACGTTCAAAGGCCTTGTGTTACATTCCATCTCCATGAAATGATATATAAATTTTACCTATTGGTTTGGTGTGGGCATACTCTAGGACAGAGATGGCAAACTTTTATAATTGCCAGGTCATTTATGGTACTTCAAAATTTTTCATAACTATAAATGAATCAATCATATACTTATATCTTTTTAATGAGAATTTGAGAGGGAGAGTATGGTGTGTATCATCAGTGGTAATACCTTTGCAGTAAAGTGGTCAACCCTGCTTTATTCAGGTGAACTGGGATGCAGAACTGTACTGGTTCATGGCCTACATCAAACTCTCAAACATGTCTCCAAGAAGTTACATGGGCACTATGACAGCCATGGGGTATGGTCAATAGTCAATTGCATCAACCTGCCAGCCAAATTGTGTGAGGGTAGTCAGAAAGGTTTCCCGATCTGACCAGTAAAAAAAACCTCTCTCAAACCCAATTCAGCATATTGTATATTTTTATATATATATATATATATATATATATATATATATATATATATATATATTATATATATATACACATACACAAACATATATACATAGTACACATACACATAATTATTTTTAAAAAATATATATTCATTGCGACACAGAAATTATGTTTTAAAACCAAAACATTTAATTTTAAGTTTAATTTAAGATTTAGGTTTTGGTTTCAAAACATGGTAATTTTGTGTCACAATAAATACATATTTTTAAAAAATAATTATAATATTATGCTATACTGTGTTTCAAGCACTGTTTTTAAAAATAAATAAAAAGAACTTTGGATTATAAATCTGACTGTTCTTTTTTTATTTTTATTTATATATATATATATATATATATATATATATATATATAATTTGAAAAAAAGACAGACCACATTAAGATTCCATGTAATAAGCTATTTCACCATAACCCCTTTAACAGGGTTCTGGATCATCAGACTTTACTTCCAAAAACTGAAATGAAAAATGAAAAGAAATTCACATTCGTTTTTTACGGACCTCATCAAGTATACGTAAAGTTAACGAAGTGAGGTGGGAGAGAGGATATGAGTGTGTTATATGTATCATTTTAGGTTCCTATTTTAACCCCAGTGTGTCGGCTAGATGTTGCTCAAATTTAACGCGTCTTGTCTCTAGATATAGATGGCTAAGGGTTGAATGATAAGAACGACATTAAAGGAAGAAGTTACAACAACCTCAATAAATTACACGACAGGTTTCATTCAAATTCTTAGATGCTGTCAGTTCGTGTTACTTTAACGTGCATATTTGGGAGGTTAAGGTTTGATAAATATCTAAATGTTAAAACAATCTACTAAGAAATTAATTTGAAATTCGGTGGAGTTTTGAGTATTTTCTATGAAACAATCGATTGGAAAAATCCATAGACAGAACATTGAAAGAGCAATCCATTTTATATTTAGTAATTTTTTTTTTTTTTTCCTAAAACTTTTATCTTATAGCTTGTTAGGTTGACATCTATTTGTTTGATTTTTGTTCATTAAGTGAACTCGTGATTGTCTTCGATTTTTGTTCATTAAGTGAACTCGTGATTGTCTTCGATTTTTGTTCATTAAGTGAACTCGTGATTGTCTTCGATTTTTGTTCATTAAGTGAACTCGTGATTGTCTTCGATTTTTGTTCATTAAGTAAACTCGTGATTATCTATATATTTTTGTTCATTAAGTGAACTCGTGATTGTCTTCGATTTTTGTTAAGTGAATTGGTAATTGTCTTCGATTTTTTTGTCTTATTTTTGTTCATTAAGTATTACTCGTGATTGTCTTCGATTTTTGTTCATTAAGTGAACTCGTGATTGTCTTCGATTTTTGTTCATAAAAGTAATGACTCGTTTTTTTGTTCTTCCATTAAAGGGAGTGATTCATTAATTTTTGTTAATTCGTGATTGTCTTCGATTTTTGTTCATTAAGTAAACTTCGTGATTGATTCGATTTTGTTCATTTTTGTTCATTTTTTATCTCAGCAATTCATTAAGTAAACTTTCGTGATTGTCTTGATTTTTGTTCATTAAGTAAACTCGTGATTGTCTTCGATTTTTGTTCATTATATAAACTCGTGATTGTCTTCAATTTTTTGTTCATTAAGTTTTCGTGATTGTATAAAATTTTTTGTTCATTAAAGTAAACAATTCGTGATTGTCTTGATTTTTGTTCATTAAGTAAACTCGTGATTGTCTTTGATTTTTGTTCATTAAGTAAACTTCGTGATTGTCTTCGATTTTGTTCATTAAGTAAACTTCGTGATTGTCTTCGATTTTTGTTCATTAAGTAAACTCGTGATTGTCTTCGATTTTTGTTCATTAAGTAAACTCGTGATTGTCTTCGATTTTTGTTCATTAAGTAAACTCGTGATTGTCTTCGATTTTTGTTCATTAAGTAAACTCGTGATTGTCTTCGATTTTTGTTCATTAAGTAAACTTCTTGATTGTCTTGATTTTGTTCATTAAGTAAACTCGTGATTGTTTTTATGTACCCAATTATCAACGGTTATTCCCATTTAAATAATTTTATTCTCCATACTAGGGTAGTATCTTTCAATCTCAATTAAAATACCAATCTAAATTTTCCCTTTGTGCTATTTAAAATTCACTTCCAATTGGAGAATATTAGAGGAGATATTTGGAAGAGATGTCACTAGCAGAAAATTAGGTCCTTCTTTTACAATTCATCTATAGTCTCACAGAAATCTTTCCTTAAAAGAGAGAGGGTGGAAATTTGTTTTTTGCACATCCACTCCATCTTCTTTTACCACTTACACTTCTATGTATTAAACTACTTAGTTGTACTTGACATTTTATGCACTGTCAAGGTTCCTAAGGTGCATCAGGTTTGCTATATCCACCAAGCGGAAGGTAGTCTTGGTATGCCAAATATTGAAATTTGTCAACATACATTTCACATTAAGTTCATAGATTAAATGTGTACACAAAACATTAAATGGTGTATTCTGAAAAAAAGATTCTAAGAAAGCCTTTCCAGTTTTGGGAAATGTGAATTCAACCATGTGGAGGCCTGTTGTAGCGATTTTCCAAGCACAGCTTAGATGTGGCACTAGGCCGAAAGTAGGGGACACCCAGAGAGGATCAAACTCACTACTCAGTCATAATTGTTCTAGCAAGACAAGCTTGCTCGCCATTACACTGCTTCAAGGTGCCCAAAGGTGATTTTCTAAGTGTAACTCAGATGTAGCACAAAGCCAAGCGTACAGAGCACTTAGTGAAGATCAAACTCACTACTTCAATAACAAAGAAGCATCACTTATCTGGCTAGTTTTGTTGGATTAGCAAAAAGCTTTGCACAGAAAAATGGATAATTTTGCTTTGGTGATTAGTAGGAATCCCCTCAAACATGCCATTATCCACTGCACCTCATATATGACTGTTGTGCAGACAAGTTAAAAACTACATAGGCCACATACTGGACAGAAAGTTTTGATTTCAAGTTTAGTTCTGTCTATAGCAATGTGCAAAAAAAAATGAAGACTATAGTTTCTTCTGCATATTTGATCATATGAGATTCATGATATGAATGATATGACAAAAGGAATTTCATAAAAATAAGAAGCTCTCCACTTCTCAACTGATTATGTTTTTAAGCATCTGCATTAGGATGGAGAAGAAGCAACTGCCATCATCAAAATATGATAAGTGCTGGGTAAATGTAGTGCATTTGTGTTAAGTGAATGACACAGATATAGTGTAGCACTTGGATATCAGCAGATATTATGATAGTTTAGGCCATTGTATTTTTACTTAGTCTATAAAATTTTTTAACTTAGCTCAAGGATGTAAGCTCATTGGCCCCATTTATTTTGTTCTATTTTTCTTACTTTTAATTCCCCAACTTCTCTCCATTAGGTGACAGAGATTTCAATTCTATGGTAAATGTTGGATACCTTTTAACTTTTTGAATTTTTATTGCTTGAACTAGTGCATATGCATGCATGTGAGTGTTTATGTGAGTTTATTTTTTAAATCACTCACTTTTTTGACATTTTGATATTTTTGTCATGATTAGGATTTATTAGTGTTAACAAGTGTTGTTCTTTAATTTTATGAATATTATATTTCATTATAAATATATATTGATAAAATGTTATGCCTTGTGCCATGTTTTTTGTACAAGGTTGACCAGAAAAGCCCTGACTCATTTAGAAAGTAAAAGGAAAACAACAAATCTTGATTTGTCTGGTAGAATTTTCAAAAAGTACTGCATTTTGAGCTTGTTCCACATGGTCATGCCATCAACGCTAAATAGTATTGCCAGCAGCTAGACTGCATGTACGATTACTAAAGAAGGAGTATCCTGATTTGGTCAACGAAGGTTGGGCTTTGTTTCAGCAAGACAATGCAAGGCCACACATGGCCAAGTTGACTAAAGTGAAGTTCAAAAAGATGGACAGTGTTGAGTTTCAGTCCTGATGCTGCTCCAATCGTTTATAGCCTATTCTGCTCAATGGCATACTTTCCCCATGACCAGCAATTTAATATTTTTGATGAAGTGAAGGAAGCTTGTTTACAGTTTTTTTTATTCAAAGCCAGTGGACTGGTATCTTTGAAAATAACAAGTTTACCCTCTTGAAACCAAGGCATTATGTAAAAGGCAACAAGTATAAAGTTTCTTCCTCTCTATTTATCTTACATTTATTTTTTTTTCTTTCTTTCTTTCTTTTTTTTTTACATAGTATAGCACAAGGACAAATTAATAGAGACTATGAAGTGTAGAAGATTGTTTCACTTATCTACCAAATGGAGACAGTTTGACTGACTGCCTACCTACAAATAAAATTATTATTTAAAATGCTTTCTATTATTACAAAATCAGACATCAATTTGTTTTCCTTCTTTTCTCAAATGATCTACTTATCACTTTCTCCCTTCTTGACTTTAAATTTAATAAGAAAATTACACTGGGTCCACATGCTGACAAGTTCCCTGCAGGTATTTATCTAAATTTACAATTTATGTGTCTACTTAATTTCGTTAATATATAAAAATAAGTTACTATATAAAAATAGCTTACCATACAAAACCATATAACATAAACATTACATGTAAAAATAAATGCTTAATTAAATCATAGAAAGTACTAAAAACCTAAAATGTTATTAATAATTATTGCTAATAATAATGTTATAACAAAATAAGATAATTAAAAATAATCATCAGTTACATAAACTGCAGTAATTATACATTTGAAGCAAACAAGTAAAATGAAGAGAGTATCAGAATAAATGAAGGACTCAAATTCTGAATCTATCATCAAAATGTAAACAAAAATTTTGTCTAAGAATCAAAGTTCATGGAGGTTAAACATAACATTTATACATTATAAAATAATGACCAAAAAACAAAAGGGTTTATATAAAATAATAATAAAAAAATTTCTAAAAAAAAAAAAAAAAAAAATTCTAAAATCCCCATCACCCCTCATTCGTGCACATGTGTAGTTGGCCCAACATAACCTGATGAAATACTGAAGGATGAAATATATCACAAGTAAACTTTTTCCACTTAAAACAGGATGAAATGGAAGAAAACCAATTTTCTAAGTAGGAAGGATCTGCCAGTCTAGAAAATCAGTATTTAGATTTTAGCTTTTGACTTAAAATTCAAACACTAACTTGTTATATGGATAAATAATTTGTAGCTATTTTAGCCATTTTTTCTTCCATGATACATGTTTGGACAATCATCACTTTTTGATTGACTTGGCAGAAGTATTCTTACAGTAGGCTGCTGTTACTTTTTGTGGCAGACTGGTTGCCAACCAAGGCTATAGAACCCATTTTTTTCCTGCTATATAGCCCTTAGTTGGAGGGAGAAGAGGTGGTTTCATACTATTCCCAAGGGTATTTGAGCATAGGTAAATGTAATAAACTTGACTAGAATTTGAACTTGGCTCTCCAATTTCTAATTCTGAGACACACATCCATCAGGTAAGCCAAAATCTCTGACTTCTATATATACAACAGCTGTTTACTGACAAACCAAATAAACTAACAAGATGGATATGATAATATCTATGTACAACTGATTATTTTTGTGAATCTTTTTTTTAATTATTTCACCCCAAGAAAGGCAATAAACCACTAAGATACAAGGGATTATTGAGTATGAAAGAGTATGAAAAAGAAATTTTACATTGCATTTAAATTTTTGAAGATCAAAGTTGACCAGAAAGAAAGAACTTGGAAGAGAGACTCCCACAAGTGAGAGAAGGAACGATTAACATTGAACTTAGTTACATCTAGCAATTTCAACTGTAAAATGATGCCAATTTAGTACTGTGCTTAAATTCATGAAGTCTAGGTACCATAAATGAAAGTTCATCTGAAGAATTACCATGAAAATATTTATAGAAAAAGCAGAGAGAAGCTAATTTACACTTGTGAGAAAGAGATAGATGTCAAAATGCCAGATCAAGACCAATAACATTGCAAATTCTTCTTTGTATTTTATCAAGGATCTCAAAATATATAGTAAGAACATCAGATGATAAGTGGCAGCAATATTCAAAGCATGGACAAATGGTAGACTTATAAATATGTAAGATAGATTCTGGAGAGAAAAATACAGTGAACCAACTTTCCTAGTAACAGGCTTAGCAATTAATTCAGTAGAATCTTTCTACTTTATGTCAGTGGAAAATGTTAGCTCTAGAAGGCACAATGAGTCACACTCCTAGATGGCAGACAGAAAGGGTTCTCTCAGATGATTAAAAGAGAGCAGTTTCATTTTGGAGGCAAAAAATTAAGAAGCCATTCCTTGTCCCAGTTAACAACAAAATATAGGTCATTTTTGAGAGCAGCTACCAAATCTGACTTTATTGAACTGATTAAACTTACTATTAAGACAGGAATAAATATTTGTATCATCAGCATAGATACTGAGTTGAGAACTGATGACATGAGGAAGTTTGTTGATGAAAATTAGGAACAATATAGATCCAAAGAAACTTTCATTTAGCAATTTGATAAGAAAGATTGAAT